CATCGCAAAGGAGAAAATGCTCCCCCTTGGGACTCATCTGACATTGCTCAATAATCTTTTTATCCTACAAAAGGAAGGAAATAGGATTGCTTAGGGAAACCTCAGGGCTGATGTGTCTCTATTAGGGTCACCTTTTACTCCAGAGAGATCTGGTTGGAAGCCTAACTCTCCCATTTACAAGCCAAGTGAACTTCTCTCCCAGCCTCAGTCTTGTCCTCTGTACCTTGGGTATAAAGACACTCACCTCTGGATTGTTGTGAGGATTAGAATAATATGTGTAAAGTGGTAACACACAGAAGAGAAGTGGTGGCTGTTATGGATTGATGTGACCAAGAATAAGGAGCACTTGGTCCTGCCTGGTGCACAGCAGGCCCTCCGCATGTGGCAGTTAATTCATTCAACGACTTTTTGTTGTTGTTGTTCCCTCTGTGTCCTAGGCCCTATATTGTCACTCCTTTTTGTCCTCTTCTTTTCCCTTCTCCTGTAGCCCAAGTACTGTTGGAGCAAAGCCTTCACACTCTATTTAAAGCACTCACTATAAAGGCACTCTATACATGATCACTTATTTAATTCCTATACCAACCCCCTGAAGCATTATGATTAGCCCCATTTCATAGCTGAGAAAACTGAGGCACAGTAGAAATCAGTGCTTTTCCCAACCTGATGATAAGGGATGGGATCTAAATCCATGTTACTAACCACTTGGTGATCCCGCTTCGGGGTCAGGAAGGGATCACCTCTCCTTTCTCACCAGCTGTCCCCTCGCATCCCATGCCGCTGCTCCAGGCTGTTAGAGTTGTCAGGCGGTCCAGGAGTTGCAAACTCAAATGACTCTCAGGTGCTCAGCAGGGTCGGATGTGAGAGAAGCCACAGGGTGAGGACAGTGGTGACCAGGTTGCATGTGTCCCATCTGTGACTATTGCCAGATTAGAATGCAGGCCTCATGTCTCCAAGGCTTTAGATTTTTTAAGACAGTTGGAAATTGAGACGTTTAAAAGGTAAAACTCTCCCAATTCGATAATGCTGGCAACAAATTTTTTTTAAAGAAATCCTTGTGAAAGTCAGAACATCCTCTGCCCATTTGCTGAGTTTGTCCTGAAGGTGGCCTGTTTGCCTCTCTGGACACTTGCCATGTCCTGGGCTGAGAGAAGGAAGTCAGAGGTTTCAGCCCCACTTGACCCTGCCCAACCCCCAATCTCTCTATTTTTGTCCTTGAGAAAAAGGTAATTATGCGATAGAGCCAGCACAGGTGACTGGGAGCTCAGAGGAAGGGCCTAATCCAGACAGACTTCCTGGGGGAGGCAACCGAGGCTGAGTTTTGAAGAAGTCAGCCAGGTCAGAGGGTGATGGGAGTGGATGGGTGGGGTGAGAAATACATTCCGGGCAGAGGGAAACTTGTGCGCAAAGGCTTGGAAGATGAGGAGCTTGGGGCATCCTTTGGAATTGCAGGTGGTGTGGTCAGGCCCAGGTCAGATGGAGCTCACAACCAGTCTGGGTGCTGTGCATTTGCTGGGGTATCTTGAACAGATAGTGTAATCTGTCTGTGGCTCTATTTCCTCATCTGTTGAATGGGAAGAATATTAGTCTCAGCCTTATGAGATTGTTATAAAGACCCCTTACATTAAGATGCATATGAGACTCAGCACAGGGCTTGGCACACAGTGAGCCCTGATCGATGTCAGCCTTTCTCAGTAGGAAAGCCCTTGAGCCTCCAGCTATGGGGTAAACTTCCTCTCAAAGGCAATAGCGAACCGGGATACGAGGCTGGGCAGCAGTCAGACTGGTGTTTCAGAATTGTTCTCTGGCCGTTGTGGGGGAGGGTGCCTTGGAGGCAACATGAAGCTGCTCTGGAACCAGGAGGAGGCTGATATGGGCCCCTGGAGGGAGAAGCAGAAGGCTGAGGAGGGGTGACTTGAAGGGGCTGAGGCAACACACTGTGGTTAAGAAGGTGGGCTCTGGAGGAAGACTGCCTGGGTCAAATCCTGGCTTGGCCACTTACTAGCTTTAAAATCTTGGCAGATGTCTTGACTCATTTTCTTCATCTGTAAAGTGGGCATGACAATAGTTCCCATCCCATGGAGTTGCTCTGAATGTAAATGAGTTCATCCTGAGAATTGGTCAGAACATCTTGAGTGATTAACAACCATGGGACCAGCTAGAATTATTATTATTAAATATAATGTTAATAATGGATGAAAGGAAAGGACGCCGACACCATTTTTGCCCAGGATGAAGAGATCTCAAATCTGGCCTCCTACTGCAGCAGCCGAGCTGTGTGGGAAGCCTCTGGCTAAGAGTGAGAGGGTAGTGTAGCCTTCCCTTCCCAGCTGGTTAATTCACTGCTAATCTTGCAGCAGGCCAGCCCAGACATTGCTGGTATCAGGGAAAACATGAGCTGCTTGCTTTGTATGTGTGCGTAAATGGCACGGCTTACTTGCCTGGAACCCAAATCCGCTCAGCAGCTGATAGAGTAAGAGAGAAGCTCGAGGACAGGAGAGAGATGTGGGATGGACACAGATTACTTCCCTGAGTTTTCTTCTCTGAGCCTTCCTGCTTAGGGGAGCCGGCCTGGCCCAGCCAAAGAGAGGCAGGTGGACCTCAATTCTCACTTTTAATTGTTCATCAACCTTAGGAGTTTTACCAAGCCTCTCTGAGCTCCAGTTTTCTCATTTATAAAGTGAGGGTAATGAGGCCCACCCCTCAGAGTGTGTGGGGAGAACAATATACAAGTCAAAGACCTGTGCCCTCTGGTCCTCATGGAGGATTCAGCTGTTAACGAACCAGGTGTTCTAAGTCTATGGCCATGCCACTCTGAACGTGCCCGATCTCGTCTGATCTCGGAAGCTAAGCAGGGTCGGGCCCGGTTAGTACTTGGATGGGAGACCACCTAGGAAGACCAGGTGCTGTAGGTGTAAAAAAAAAAAAGGAATCAGGTGTTCTAAGAAATTGTGGGGAATCAAACATAACAGACTTGCACCCCAACTTTACCACTCGCTGAAGGGATAGGCAATTCACTGGACCGGAAGTGCCTACTTCACTGAGAAAGAATAAATGAGACGATGGATTTAGCTTAGCTTGAGGCCCAAGCACAGTAGGGGCTTCATAAATGGTGGCTGGGATCACACTACCAGGCATGCTTGGTGGGGGGACCTACTGTGTATTCTGAGGAGGGAGACTGGCTCTGGGTTGCAGCATGGGCCATTGGGGCCATGTGGTGGAAAGTTCTAAACCCCCTCAACACATGAGCAAACAGGGCAGTTTGCAAAAATGGGGCACTTGGAGGAGGCAAGGAGGACAGCCATTCCCGACAGTGGCATTAGAGGTATCAGGCTGTAAGGATAAGGCTGGTAGGAGCATGGAGCCCTGCCCCAGGCCGGTGTCTTAGGAGAACTTCCCATTTCCAATTGAGAAAAATGCTCTGTGTTCTCATTTGAATGGATTTGAGTCTTGATATTTGGTTTATAAGGAGTTAACTAGAAAGTGACAGCATTTTACAGACTATGAAGCACTGATTTCATTTGTCTAGTATTTATTGAGGGACTACTATATGTCGGTCAGGGCTGTAGGTGCTAGGATACAGCAGGGATTATGACTGTTATATCTGTGCCCTCACAGAGCTAACATTCTAGTGGGGGAGATTATAACAAACAACCATAACAACAGTAACAAACATCAAATAATAGCACAGTACGAGATGGTGATGCCAACGAAGCAAGGATGATGTGAGAGAGACCCAGGAAACTCCATTAAATACAGGAGTCAGCCAACACCTCTGGGTGATGTGACATTTAATGCACTTGATTACAAAAAGGAGCAAGCCATGGGAAAATCAGGTCAGAGTACCAGCAGACAGGAAGGGAAAGTGCAAAGGCCCTGGGTAGGAGCCAGCATGGCATATTTGAGCAACGCAGAATATTTCAGACAAAAACAAGACAAAGTCTGAAGCCTTACTGGAAACAAAGTCTAAAGTCTCATATAGCTAATTACCAAATAGTGGAATGTTTTGATGGAGGAGGCACAAGTTGCTGGGAGAATACAAAGGAAGAGCTTCCTATCCAGCCTAGGAGATCAGGGAAAACTGCCTGGAGGAGGTGATATGTGATGTAGGACCTAAATGACAGGTAACAGAGGAGGAGAGAAAGGATTTTCCAGGCAGAGAGAATAGCATGTGCAAAGGCCCAGAGGTGGGACAGGGCCTGATAGATTAATTAGGGGAACTACAAATAACTGGATGTAGTTGGAACTCAAGAGCTGAAGTATTGGGGTATAGGGAAAGGATAGAAGGTATCCCTGACATTTAGGAGAAGGGCCAGGTATGACCCATTCTGACACATCTGATCACAGAATTGATCTACTGAGCAGAGCATTTCAGGGTGGGCAGCGGGGATCAGAGAAGGAACTGGAGGCAGAGTTATGACCAGGGTGAGTAGAAGTGCTGGAGTGGAGAAAGTAAATTCCAGAGACCTTACACAGCAGAAAGGGCTGGCTTGGGGACAGCTTGGGGAGCAGAAGGCAGAGGCAGGTGATGGAAGCCTCAGAGAACTCAGAAAAGCTGATGGCCGAGTATCTTCTAGTTTGGTGGGTGATCGAAGTGGGTTTTGAAGGATGACTGATCCAGGTCAAGTCCTGACCTGTCCGCTGCCCAGCGGTGCGGGCAACACTTCACCTCTCTGAGCCTCCATTTCCCCATCTGTGCAATGTCACAACCTACCTAAAGAGCTGTTGTGCAGATTACATGTGAATGTACAGGAAAGCTCCTAGCCCAAAGCAGGCGCTTGGAGCATGTTAATTCCTTTCCTTGACCCTTGGCCTTGGGCACCTACTGTGCCTCTCTGGGTCTCTGTTCTCATCTGTAAAATAGGAACCAGAATGTTTGCCTGTGGTGCTGTCAGCATGAGTTGATGAGATGACTGCAGACTCAGGATATATCCCACAGAGTAGGTGATCACGGATTTCATTATTTTCTCTATCTCCTTCCCCAGCAGGAAGAGCCAAGAAGAATGGTGTGGCAGGGGCTGGTGCTGGCTGCTTGCCTCCTCATGCTCCCCTCCGTCACGGCAAACTGCCTGTCCCGCTGCTCCTTGTGTGCTGTAAAGACCCAGGGTGGGCCCAAACCCATCAACCCCCTGGTAGGTTTCAGGCAAGGCTCCTGGATGCCTAGGTCCTGGGGACTGTGTGTGGAAGGAACCATTGTACGTGGAGCCCAGAGAGGGAAGACAGCAGGCCTGGGGAGTGCTATGCCTGTCCTGTATACTCATTCCACCTGTGTAGAGCATGTCCTGTATACTCATTCCACCTGTGTAGGGCATGTCCTATATACTCGTTCCACCTGTGTAGGGCATGTCCTGCCGTGTAGTCAGCCTGGGCACCATAGGCTGCTGTTTTCTAGCTCCCATACCTTCTCCAGACCTCACCGTCATGGGCTCACTCAGATCTGAGAAAGATTCAGGTTTCCAAGGAGCCTGATGCCTGGCAACAAGGAGCATCATTCATGAGGTGTGCTGACTTTGGGAGTCAGCAGCCCTAGTGTAACTTTTCAGGGCTTCTTACCACCAGACTGATGGGCACCTCCAAATTTAGTCACTCTCATGGAAGGAACGTGTTTCACTATCCCTAAATACTGAGATCTGATTGATGGGATCTAGGCCTTGATTCCTCTCCTGGGTCTTAGCATCTCTTAGCTCAGCCTTATTGGCTTTGCTTTGAGTCAAGCTTCCCCATGTTCCTCTCCTGTACGAGCAGATGGGCTGGAGGTACCAAGGGTGTGGTGGACAGAATGCAGGCTTTTGTGCTGCCACTTTCTTGTTCCATGACCCTGGAAACTTCTGAGTCTTAGTTTTCTCATCTATAAAATGGGAGTGATTCCATGAGATGATGATGCAAAGTATTAAAAATACAATTCTAGCCACACTTTACTGAGATGAGCCTAGCTTGGCAGGTGCTGTCCATACATGATCTCAGGAGAGAACAATGGTTAAGCATGAGGACTTGTGGCATTAGCCTGCCTTGGTCCAAGTTGCAGAATTGTCCGGTATTGTCATCACCATCATAATCAACATTATGCTGTTTGGATTCTCCCAACGCACCAATGAAATAGATGCTCTTGTCCCTCAGATGTGATGTCCCCTCATGTGTTTTTTCTACCATTCTGCATTGCTTCTGTCCTGCTCTATAAAGTGTTCGCAGTATCTTTTCAAGGAAAGGTAGGGAGAACCAACTACTTCTGGAGTCAGAAGTGGAAGTGATGGGCAAGCTCAGCAGAGTGCTATCAGATCTTACTTCCAATTTTGGTACTGCCACCCATAGCCATGTGCCTTTGGAAAAGCTATTTTATTTCTCCATGTCTGTTTCCTCATCACCCACATAGGCATAATGTCACCTACCTTTATGCATTGGGAGCATTAAAGTGGGCAGCCCTGAGGCTTAGTGATTGCAGCTAATTTGATTTTCTCAGGCATTAGAGAGGACCCTCTGGGGCAGGCGAGTACATGCGCTTTGACAGTTTGATGGTGATGACATTAATCCTGTGGTTTTTTGCAGGTTTGCTCCCTGGAATGCCAGGCTGCCCTGCTGCCCCCTGAAGAGTGGGAGAGGTGCCAGGGCCTTCTGTCTTTTTTCTCCCCCTTTCCCCTTGGGCTCAATGGCAAGGAAGACTTGGAGAGCAAGACAGCTTTAGAAGAGCCCTATGGTGAGCTGGCCAAGCGCACGGGGCCCTTCCTGAAAGAGCTGGAGAAAAGCAGGTTCCTTCTCAGCACCTCACCAGAGGAGAATGCTCTGAGCAGGAGCCTGGCAGAGAAGCTCAGGGGTCTCACTGGCAGGTTGAGGGAGGGAGTGGAGTCAGAACTAATGGAAGATACCCAGCTGAACGATGGCGCCATAGAAGCTGGAGCGCTGGATTCTGATGAGGAGGACCCCAAGGAGCAGGTCAAACGCTACGGGGGCTTCTTGCGCAAATACCCCAAGAGGAGCTCAGAGGTGGCTGGGGAGGGGGAGGGAGATGGAGATATGATGGGTCACGAGGACCTGTACAAACGCTATGGGGGCTTCTTGCGGCGCATCCGTCCTAAGCTCAAGTGGGACAATCAGAAGCGTTATGGCGGTTTTCTCCGGCGCCAGTTCAAGGTGGTAACTCGGTCCCAGGAGGACCCCAGTGCGTACTCCGGAGAGCTTTTTGATGCTTAAACACCTCCCCATAATGGAGGTGAATCACAAACTCCCCCATACCCTTCCAGTTTGGAGCGTACTCATTCTTCCCCACATCCCCCGTCCCTGTGCTCAGTTCAGCATTGTCTACAAACATCCAAACCCAGCCTGCCTCTCTTTTGCCTGGAGTGAAGTTTTTGTCTGGAGTCAGTGCAGGGGAAGGATGGAGGTTCCCCTCTCCAATAGGCTCAATGCTTGGCTCAGGCCCTATACATCTAAAACAGCTTTCGATATCATTCCCTCCACCCCCATTCATGTGACTCCTCAATTCCAGGAATCCAGGCTGACTTGTTCTTCATCCTTCTGGATCTCTTGCCTCCAAACTTTACTAATCACAGGCCTCTCTCAGAAGAAAGATGAGCATACCTTCATGAAGATATATTCATTAAGAGAATATGTACACATCAAACACACAAAGGGTTGAAATGTAAAACAAGATAAATAAACAAATAGAAACTCTAACATTTTATTCCAAATCCTCAAAGGATCTCCTCGTGCACCCCACTGTGGAGACTATGCTTTAGGTAAAATACACTGACACTACCTTTTATTGGAGCGGGAATTCAGTCTTCTAGTGGGTTAAATGCTCAGTCATATACTCTGAGTTCTCATTGTTTAGAAACACACATCTTGAAGAACGGAGTTCCTGGACTCCAGTCCATGTTGGTACCGTGGACAGTGCTCAACTCCTCAAAGGAGAGGAAGGGAGGGACAATCAAAGGAGAGGAAGGGAGGGACAATCCCTTTCCTAAATGGTTAATGAGAATAGTTCTCCTTCTGAATGCTGAAATGATGAAGTGGGGCAGGGGGAGTGAGGCAAACCAATTTGTTCTGTGCAACAAACTCAAAATGTAGACCAGTTCCCTCAGCCCTCATTAAACTAATTAAACTGATCAGTACCTCACTCCTACCCCAGGATGAACTGAAGCTGAGTCAAGTTGATGAGGTTAAGCACAACCATGTTCTTGAGCAGCTGAATTGGCCTCCAAGAGTCCAAGCCATCTGGCCAGACATATGCAGTGGGCATTGAGTAAGGGAATCCAGGAGCAACGGTGAAAAAGAGAAAACCCAGTGATGATTCTTTTCTCTTAATGTCTTGAAATGAAACCATAAAGAGGACTGAAATAATTAAGTGCTTGATGCCAAATGAGTTCCCTTGATTCAAATAACCTAGAGTCAGAGGCGGAGATCTCCTGATGCCTTGGTTTCAATCAAAGTCTCCTCTCTCTGTCTCTGTTTCTCTGTCTTGCTCATTTGTCCCTAGGCACTATAGTTTAGTTTGTGGGTCCAGGAGGCTGGGCTGGCTAGGAGAGGAAATAGACTTGAGTTTGGTTAATGCAAATTAACCAAATTTGTATAGATTCTACTGAGCATATCTCTTCATGTGCAACCCCCAACTCTCTCATAATGTTCTGAAATGTATTGATTGTCTTAGGGTTACTTTGTGTGCTTTTTAAAAATCCCATTTATGCAATTTACTTGGAATTTGCTTAATCCTTAATTGGCCTGTGTTATTTCCCATTCCTCCAGTACAATAAATAAATAAAATTGCTGATGACTTGAGGGCTGTGTATATGTATGCCTCAGTCTCCAGGGAGTAAAAACACCATTTGTAGAAACAAGTGTCGGGGAATGAAAAATACATGTGCATGAGCACGCATGCGCTCTCTCTCTCTCTCTCTCTCTCTCTCTCTCTCTCTCACACACACACACACACATTTTTCATGCTAGAAAATTATATGTAGGAGGATAGAAAGGGCACAAATTTTAGAGTGCCATAGCCCTAAATTTGATATCTGTGTGACCTTGGGTAAGTCATTTGGCCTCTCTGAACCTTAGTTCAGTAAAATAAAGACTAATAAAATAAAGACTGAGAGAGCCAGCTTTGAAGGTGGCTGTGAGAGTTAGAGGTAATCATATATGCAAAGCTCTTAGAACATAGTAGATGCTTAGTCAATGAGGATTTCCTTACCTACATATTCTAGCTATTTTAGAAAGTTTAAACAAACAAACAAACAAACAAACACTCAGATAATTCGTTGGCTCACATAAATGATGAATACAGATATCATAGTCGGGTAGAGCTTGATCAATGGGCTCAGTAAGGACACCAGGAACTCTCCATCACTAGGCTCTTTTCTCCTCTGTGTTGGATTCATTCTAAGACCTCATGTGTTTTTGAGGTGTCTGACAGCAGCTCCAGGCTACACCATGCAGGTTCAAGTCCAGCATGCAATTTTCACAGCAAATCCCAATCAAAGTTTCAGTGAATCTCATTGGCTCTAATAGGGTCATATGTCCAATCCAGAGCTAATACCATCATTGCGGACAGATTAATGTAATGTTATGATTGGTCAGGACTTAACATACGGATACCACTGGAGCCAGGGATGGATTCAACCCAACTCAAAGTAGCTGGATTAGGAGTGAGAAAGGAGGTGGTTCTCAAGAGAAAAATTAGAGCATGGTTCTGAGTAGGAGAACAAGTGAATGCCAGCCCACCAAACAGCAGATTCTCACCCCCCGAGTGAGTGAAGGTGGCCGGTAGAGACTGGGGCAACCTGGAGAGTATATATCATGGGGAATGTGGGCCCAGAGTAGCCAGATCTGATTTTTAAGAAACTGTAGAAATATGGATTTGCATTTTTTTTTCAATGTAGGCAAATAATTTTTTTTTAAAGTACCGAGCAGGACCACCAACCATATGTTTGGGATGAGACTCAACAGTCTCTCACCGCAATTTTGTGACTTTTTTTTTTTTTTAAATGAGAAACACTCCTTTGGGAGAGGTTTTAAATTCTCCCCACGTGCTATGGATTCCAGGATGTTGCTGTTCTGGACTCCCTTTTCTGGACACATTTCACTTGTTCTCAGAGGCATGCTCATATAAAGTGGAAAGAGCATGGCTAGGGGTCACAGAGAACTGGGTTCAGGTCCCCCTTCCTTGAGTGTCTCTGGGAGAGCCACTGCACTTCACTGAGCCTCAGTTTCTAATCTGTCAAATGGGGAGAAAAATACTGAGTTCTCTGCGGAGAAGTGAGGATTCAGTAAGACAAAGTCTATGATGCACTTACACACAAGAGGTGCATGACGCCAGTTGCTGCCCCCTCTTGAAAGGCGGTGTCTTTGATTATGATATTCCAGATGTCACCAGACGAGGCATACACCTGTTGAAAGGACAAAATTCTCCTGGTGGTAAGAAAAGGATAAAATTTAAAAAAAAAAAATTTTTTTTTATGGACTATAGCATATGTGCTGTAAAGTGCACTTAATCTTAAGTGCATGGCTCAGCGGATTCTTACATATGTCTACACTTGTGTGACCACCACTCAGATCACAAAATGGAATAATTCCAGCACCCCAGAGGGGTGATCATTTTTTATGAGCTGTTTGGGGGAATGGAGAGCAAGCCAGAGAAAGAACTGGAATAAAAACATCACGGGCCTTGCAGAGTCCCGATTCTTTGTCCATGTCACCAAGGCCACTGTGCAGTGATCACAGAGCAGTCGTTGGTTAAGGGATGCCAACATCCCGGTAACCTTAAAGGAGTGCGTTACTAATAAGCACACGGTTTCCACGACAACACCATACAGCATTGCCAGTGAAGAGAGTCTCGTCATTATGATCATGACAATCATAATGATCCCTTGGATGTGGATCATTTCTCCCCATCCCCAACTCTAAGTCCTTCACACAAGTGAGCCCAGCGATGGGGCTTGTCTGTTAATTAAAGGACCCAAAGCAAAGACAACGAAAATCCCCATGACAGTGCCAGAAACAATGATGCCCTAATAGATATTATTTTGGCATTCTGGATTCATGTCGTCTCTCATTACGGCTGGGGAGAGATTTATAACAAAGATTTTGTAATCACTCTTCTAATATGTAAATATGCACGTAAGTTGAACTCCCACCTTATTTATCTTGTCTCTTTCTAACTCAGTCCAAGCCCCATTATTCTTTGTTGCTGGGGCTCCCCTCATCCTTAATCTCCTTTGATGTGAAGTTTGTTATCTGAAAACACCCACTTGTCTCACTCTTAAACTCCCATTACCCAGAGTGGCTACTAAGGGACCTGCCCTGGTGTTGGGGGAAAGTTGGCAATGCTTTCTTGTCACTGATAAGATCCATGTGGCATTCGGACTTGGAGAAGGAGCACTGCACTGAGAGTCCCAGGACCTAGGGACCTGAATGTGGTCCGGGCTGTGGGAGGTGGGCTTTGAATTCTTCAGAACACAGTTTTCTCATTTGTAAGATGATGTAGCTATCATAAGGGCTTTTGTTCTTTCAAGAGCTGATATATATATAATATCTGCTCTGCATCAGGCACTGAGTCAATAAATGATGAACAGAGCAAGTGATCTTTAGTTTTCTTGTCTGGAAATGGGGCTGGCAGGTAGTGGAGAGTCACACGAGAAGACACAGGGACAGCATCTGGCCCAAAGTTGCTGCATAATCAGTGCTAAAGCCCTCCCCACCCAATTTTATCCAATCGCTTGATGACAGTTTATTGAGAATTTGTTTTGTACCCTGCACTGGGGGAGGGGCAGGAGATTCAGTGGTGATTAAGTAGAGTCCCTGCTTCACGGAGGGCTCACTTTCTGGTGGGGGGCGGGGGGCGGGTTGGGGAGCGAAAACCAGTTGCCTGTAAATGAACAAATGGGTCAATGCTTCAGGTGGTTATGAGTGATAGCAGGTGGGAGGTACGACTCAGAGAGGTCACAAAGCCTTTTCTGAAGGGGGACATTTGACCAGAGATGTGTAGGAGATGGGGGAGAGCCTTGTGGGTTTGTGAGTGCAGGGAGGACAGCATTTTAGGCAGGGAGAACAGCGAGTGCCAAGGCCCAGAGGAGCGTCTGTGACTGTGTAAAAAAGAATAAGGAAGCTGGGGGGAGAAGAAAGGGCAGAGGGTAGGAAACAGTTTGCAGAAGCAGATAAGGACCAGATCACCACAAGGCTCCCGGGACTCAGCACTGTCT